CCTGCTGAAAGGAATGTCCTTGAGCATATAATGAAATTTTGACAGTGTTTAACCAGGCCAAGAGCTAAAATAATTTCCTTTGATGCAGAATTATCTGCAAATAGTATCAAGGCCCTGGAGGTCAGAGCTGAGTAAGTTGCCATTTTGGTGGAGTTTGTGAGCGTTGCTGTTTATGCACTTAGCTTGTTCGGTGTTTAAATTCATATTGCCAAGATAACTTATCAGTTTATCTGGTAGGCAGAATTAAATTATTTTGTGCAGTTCGCAACGTGGGTAGCAGGACAGTTGTGAGTAAAATTGTGATTTCTGGCTTCTATTTTTCCATGGAGTATGAGTATATAGCTGTTTATGTTTTATTTTGTGGATATGCTTTAATTACATTTTAAGGGGTTAGGTTTTTAAATTTACCACTCTTAAGAAAATGTGGTAATCACTCTTTTAAAGAATGTCCAGTGAGGTGTTGTGGGTTTTTTTCTCCTCATGTTTATGTAGTAGTTGGTTGTCCTGTTTCCACAGCTGTACTGGTACTGTATACAGTTTGCATGCTGGCTGAAGTACATAGGCAATTATATATGTGCACAAGTGAAGATATTCTTACAGATGCTTTTTTTCTCCCCAGATTTTGGCTTATATTGTGTCTCAGATCTTGTTTAAGTTAGATCTGTGTTTCCAAATAAACATTGTAGTTAAGCAAAAATTAGTAAGGGGATATTAAGCTTCTGAGCCCCAGAAAAGGAGTCCCAGCTTCGGAGAAGAATTTTACATAGTGCATTTTGATTAATTAGGTGTGATATGCTTTCAAAAATAGTTATGTTTCCCTCCCACAATTTACTGTAGACTATTCTTACACTTCTGTATCGCTGTACAGCATCTAAACACCTGAACTTTCCATGCAGAATTCACAATGGATCCATTGAGAAGTGTGCTGTTCATATCTGCTGTTTATTGTTGCTGGTAACTCTTTGTAACTGTAATGCTTTTCTAAGGCTCCAAGACAGAAATATTTTTCCTGTAACCTGGTTAGTTATTTTCTGCATAGGAGTATTTTCTCATAAACTAGTGGAGAATCACAGAATCAAGGAATTGTTAAGGTTGGAAAAGACCTCTAAGATCCATCAAGTCCTAGCTATTAACCCAGCCCTGCCATGTTGCCACTAAACCATGTCCCCAGAGTGCCACATCTACATGTTTTTTGAATGCTGCAAGGGACAGTGATTCCACCATTTGCCTGGACAAGTTGTTCCAATGCCTGACCACCCTCAGTGGGGAAATTCTCACTGAAGAAATTTTTCCTGATATCCAATCCAAACCTCTCCATGTTCCTAGCTATTAACCCAGCCCTGCCATGTTGCCACTAAACCATGTCCCCAGAGTGCCACATCTACATGTTTTTTGAATGCTGCAAGGGACAGTGATTCCACCATTTGCCTGGACAAGTTGTTCCAATGCCTGACCACCCTCAGTGGGGAAATTCTCACTGAAGAAATTTTTCCTGATATCCAATCCAAACCTCTCCATGTGGCCATTTCCTCTTGTCCTATTGCTTGTTCACCTCACTACAGCTATTAACCCAGCCCTGCCATGTTGCCACTAAACCATGTCCCCAGAGTGCCACATCTACATGTTTTTTGAATGCTGCAAGGGACAGTGATTCCACCATTTGCCTGGACAAGTTGTTCCAATGCCTGACCACCCTCAGTGGGGAAATTCTCACTGAAGAAATTTTTCCTGATATCCAATCCAAACCTCTCCATGTGGCCATTTCCTCTTGTCCTATTGCTTGTTACTCCCACCTCACTACAATGTCCTTCCAGGTAGTTGCAGAGAGCAATAAAGTCCCCCCTGGGCCTCCTTTTCTTTGGAATGAACAGTAGTCCCATCTCCCTCAGCTGCTCCTCAATAAGACTTGTGCTCCAGCCCCTTCACCACATGCACCTCTCAGAAGCCATTGGCGGAATCGGCAATAGGTTTTTAAAAATAGGTTTTTAAGCTAGGTTTCTCCTTTAAAAGGGTCTCTGAAACTTGAGGAATTCTAAGTGAAATCTCCTGATGAAGCTGATGCCTTCATTTGTACCACACAGCCCTTAAGACACCAGATTTATGAGTTGTGTGGTTTTGAGTATGCACCGAAGAGAGTTTCAGCCAGTGCTGTGTAGATAACTCTGAAATGTTAGTCTTCTGCTATAGTGCTGATATACGGAGGAAAGAATTTGTGCTGAAGAGAAAAGATATTTATTTGTTATAATTAAGTGGCACATAATCTTGTCAAACACATTTCTGTTGAATAATGAATTTCACAAAAGTAATTTAGTAAAAATATCTTGCAGAGAACCTGTGACTCTTTAACATCCTGTCACATATACTTTATAAAAATTGCAAACTACTGCAGCATGAGCCTTTGTGTCTGATTCATGATTCCAGAAGCACTGCCCTGATGCTGTTACTTGTGCAGCAGCTTTCCTCTGCCTGATAATCATGGAAGGGACTTTTCCTCTTTTTAAGATTACCTGCTCCTCTGCATGTGTTAGAGCTAAATTAGTCAGTTGGAATAGTTTGGTGATTTCGCAGATAGAAAGAAACCCTGAGACCTTCATCCATTATGATAATAAAAGGGAGGTTTATGACCATGTGATCTTTTTAGCTGTCTCAGAACTACAGAATATATTGGAAGAAAAAAGAAAAAGCTTTTTCTTGTATATGTGCCATTTTGTTCTCTAAAGAGATATCATAATTTTGAAATAGATGCATTTGTTGCAATGAATTTTACAAATACCCAAGTGGAATTAGAGGATCCCGTGAATTTATCCTCTCAGTTTTGATAAGTGGATGTGAATGGAATGTGTGGGAAAAGCTCTGCTGCTCACAGCTTCTTCTAAGTTAGAGCTCTGGTTAGTGAAAACCCATTTCTAACAGGAACTGCAGGAGGATTTTGTCAAGGGCTGGATGCCATGGGGCAGGTGTGTGTGCATGAAGGACATTAATCAATACAGACTTTGTGACCAGAAAATATATTTTCATGATTGTTACATTCTGTCAGGTCTTGCTGATCTTTGTTCTGGGGAAAAGATCATAGTGAAAGTCTGTACATGTTTGTGAACGTGTGCAGATGTGTTCTGATTTTACTCTCTTTATTATAGGTGATGAACCAGAACCTGCTGATGGAAAAATTATGTTCAGGAAACCAGCCAAGCGTTCATCAGAGAAGTGTTTGGACTTCAATGTAAGTTCAAGTAAGAAGATGAAAGAAGCAAAGAAAACTAGGAGAGAAGCAACTACTTCTCAGAGTACAGCTAAGCAAGTGAAAAACAGCAGTCTTCTCTCATTTGATGATGAGGAAAATGATGATTAGGGGTTGTATTTTTTTATATTTTCTTACCATTCTAGAGTTCTGAGTAACACTGGGGGCTTTCATAGGAATTGAAGCATGGTGTCTGAGTATTCTCTTATTTTGTTATAGTCCAACTAGAGAAACATAGTATAAAATTAGCAAGAGCCAAGTCTTTGCAGTTCAGCTGGAACTGCATGAACAGTATGTCATGTCTTTATTTTCAAAGGGAATTTAACCATGCATGTAAAAGCTATTTGAGGTCACAAATGAGTAGCAAAATATACCTGTACATATCCAGCTTATGTAAATTTTCAATCAATACATTGTAAAATGTTTTTCCTCTCTATTTAATAGCCTTAGTCGACAGTTCTGTGTTTTTCACCTGTTATTGTTGACTTGACATTCAAAAGAGAGAGTCTTCATTGCTGTTGAACAGAAACAGAAGTTTTCTGTCTCATAGCTTAACAAAAGTTTGTAGAACCTCTGCATTTGTGATTTGAAAGATTAGGTCTTTGCAGAGCCTCACAGTAAGTGAGACAACAGTTTGCTAAAGTCATGTAATCTTAATCCTGTGTCTGTGGTGAATGCAGTTTAAGAAGCATCAAATTCATTTCAGTTGGTTGTGCTAGCAAGATATAAAGATTTTCATTGTAGTTGATGTGATCAGCTAATGCAAAGGAAGCCTAAACCATTGGAGATGGTGCACTTTGGTTATGACACTGATGGGCTCAGTGATTTAGTGGTGTTGGCTACCTGTGTGTTCATAATTATTTGGGATCCCAAACAACTTGTTTAAAAAATGTATTTCATCTTTAAGCTGTGCAAAAGCATTATTTTGCTTTTCTCAAAGTAGGAAGTTATAAACAGAAAATTTAAGAAACATTTTATGTGATAGAGTGTTTTAAATGTTCTAGTTGCCCATGTGCAGCACCATTTATGTAACAGGATGTGCTGAAACTCAAATGACACTGAGAGCTGATGGGATTGGGGAGAACAAGTTGGTGGAAATGAAGCTAGTGACTTTGAAATTTCTTGGAATATGGTGTGTTCTGTAGCCATATATAAGCAGGACCTGAGATTACTGCAGGACTGCAGGATATGAGGCAATGAAACCAGTTCTTCTGCTGTGTGACAGGACATTCAAATTTATTTGGCCTGTAAAGCTTCTTTGAGGAGCAGATTTCAATTTGCTGTGTGAAACAGCTGGGTTTAGTTTGTTCATCTGGTATTAAACAATAAATTATGTTTTCTTTTAAGTGGTCCAAAGATATTTTAATAAAACTTTCAGTACATAAAATGGGATTTTGTTTGTCACCTGACATTGAAGCCTCTTGTAACTGCTACCTGTCTCTGTACATACCAGCTTCCTGCAGCATAACATCAGATGCACTTGCATACTGTTTCACACTCATTGTGTGAGTGCATGTTACCCTGATTTTGAAAATTATAGATCTATTGTCCTCTCAGATACTTGAAGCCAGACCTATACATGGATAGAAATCTTTTCGTAGCACCGGTGTGATACTAGAATTGCCAGAGAGGTGCTGTGTGACAACCTGATTATTCCCATGAAGACATGTTGCATTTCTAAATACATGATTTTTCTGTATTCTGCTTATATAAAAGAGAAGAGCAAATTTCGGAAGAAGAAATACAGAACCAAAGGTTCCCGGGCATTAATATTTCCACGTATTTTGTATACTTAAAACTTGTTTGAATCCATTAAATATATGTATGTCTACACCCATGAGAAATCTTGTAGCATTACAGCATACCAAAGGAATATTTGGGCATATTTCAACAACTGAGTAAATACTCTGACTGGCTGAGGCTCATCTGAAAGAATGAATTAACCATTGACTCCTTACTTAAACTTTTCTGGTTCTGTTCATCAGCACAAAAATATACTTGCATACATATTTCTTGCACAGCCTGGAACCTCTTCACTTTAGCTGTGAGGCTGTTTAGGAGACATGTCTATCAAGAGATAAATGCTTGCCAAGGATCAGAGGGAATTTGGATTTGACTTAAGATTAGAGAGGGTCTCACAAATATACAGCTGATTTGGCATGTTCAGAATAAGATTGAGATCGTATCTGAATCTGGTTAGTAATTGCACATGAACAAAAATTAGCATTTCTGGTGAAAGACTTGCAAGACTGAAGTGCAGTAAAAAGAGAGTTACCTCAAAATATTCGGTACAGTACTTTTGTTTAATCATGCTTCTTGCCCTACAACTTCGTGACAGATGTCTGAAATGCAAATAAATTAATTGGGTTTGCTTGGAAATAATATAATGAAAGGTATGTTGTTCTTCAGGCAACACAGCAGGGGAAGGAAAGGTGAATACGGAAACCCTGTTTCTGTCTTTTATTCTGGCTATGATTTGGAGAGCTCTGACCAGAAGGAGACCTTTGTGTTCATTGTATTTCACTCCCAGTTCACCTAACAATAGCTAATTGGATATATTTATTAAGAGGTGTGAGTGATGCCCGAAAGCATTTTAGCTGGGTAGTCATGTGAAAATTCAGTGTTCTTAAAGTGACACACCAGGAAAATCACACACACTATCAACTCCCCATGAAACCTGTGACTAAAGAGAACAATTACTTGTTCGTTTAGGAAAGAAATGTGAAACTGTCTTAAGCAATCACCTGCCTTGAGCAATGGGCCATGCAAACAGAATAATCACAAGAACTTTCCAATAAAGGGGAAGCCAAAGTAAGTACATGGAACATGGGGCTAGGACCGGAAAGGACAATTTTCCGGGGTTTTCCTTCTTTCTCACTCTTCCTTGCTTCCATCTCCAGTCTTCCTCCCCTCCTATAGCAGAGAATGTATATGTAAGGGAGCTTGCCTGACTAAGTGTGAGAGAAGCACTGGAGGAGAAAGGTGAGAGTAGCTGAGGCTTGTTACCTAAAATGGGAATCTTGGTCAGGTGTGGCCCATGACCTAATATGGGAATCTTGTTCAGTTTTTATTAATAAAATCTTTGACTTTCCCAGTTCATTAAGACTGTAAAACCTTTATTGGTGGTGCTAGCTGAGCAGTAAGCTGGAACAAGGCTGGTGAACTGTAGTAGCATTGCAGCAATAGATACTTATAGTGGAGGCTTTTTATGTTGCATAAGTGCTTGGATGTCATTAGGAAAGGTGAGATCCTCTGTCACCTTCATTTCTTTTGAAGAAACAGGATCTTTCTCTAAATGATAGGAGTCAAGAATGCTGCATTATGAAAGATGGCAAGAACACGAGAGAAAATGAGCAGGAAAATGCATGTGTGGGCAGGTGGCCCAGGAGTTCATAGCCTTGGTTTTCTTTCTAGCCTGTCTGAAATAAAACCAAATTTGTTGTTCTGCAAATTTCATTTTGTTGGCATAAAGAGGAAGAGATGAGTCAGGATTCTATTCTGATAGTTTTTGTGTCCAGCACTTTTCCAAGAAATATCATTTGGAGGATCAAAGGCTGTGTTTTGCAGACACTGAGCACAAGAAGCCCGTATTTAGCTGTTTTAATTACACATTTTTTAAGTTTCATCACAGGACTTAATGTCTTTTTATACAGTGCTTCAGTATATAATCCTGTTAGGAAGCTGCAGATTTATAATGAAGCAGGAAGTAGCAATGTCATCGTTTCAGCTGATTGTTTCCCTTATGCTGTAGTGTATTAACTAAGTAATGCTTCACTTGGCTGTGCAGACCCAATTGCATTCTCAAGGACATCAGGCATGCCTGAAGATGAGTCATTACCTTTTGTACAGTACAGGAGGTATGATATGCAGTCTCAGCAAGTGTTTGTCCATTGAAGTTGGTTAATAACCTATGGGCCTCTCCTGTGGCAAGATGCCACAAATCAATCCTTTGTGCATTCAGCAAACAGAAAGGCTGGTGTATCAGCTGCCTCTCCAAGATCATCCCTTTATTCCCATTCCTAGAGCAAGGTGTTCATCTGCAAAGGCATTTTTTCATATTGTAGACCTCCCTTCCTGCCCACCTCTTGAGAGCATTCCAGAGGCAGCAGTCACAAGGGTACCCGTTAAAACCAGGGAAGACACAACACAGGGTTTTACGTGAGTAACTGCAGCCTCCTGTAGGCTTCCTCAAGATTCTGAGAACCTAAAAAATCTCAGAGCCAGCCCCTGGGAAGTAGCTTCCTTCTGGGGAAATTGGATGGGGCCAGTCAGGAGAATTACAAGATTGAATTTTATAATGTTTACCCCACTATCACTTCCTGTTTTTTGTTGGAGGTAAAGCAACATCTGGCAAAAGCAGATTTTTTCCTCTCATCAGGAGATGTAAAGCAGCTTTTGTGCCATTCCAATCCATATGGCAAAGGATTCCTTTTCCTTGACTCTCGTGACAGTCCTCAGTGCAATGCCTGATTAGCTGAGGCCATGGGCAAGAGGGAGCTACCTTGTAAGAGGCAGAAGTTGTTAGAGGAAGGTGTTGTCAAGCCTCTGTGGGGTAACAGTGATCACTGCACACTTTTAGTTTTGATATCATGAAAGAGTTGTTTCCTTAGGGACAGCACAGTAACAACGAACTTTAAAAGGGCAGATTATAAAACTATGAGGAAAATGGTTAACAGCAGGCTGAAGGGCAAAGAGAAGTACTTAAAAACCATAGAGATCTGCCTGGAGGCTATTTAAGAACATTGTATTAGAGGCACAGATGGTTTGTATACCTCTGAGCAAAAACATAGCGTGTGAGGAAGGATGAAACTCACAGGGTTACGTGGGAGAAAAGCGTTGAGTACAGAAAGGTTGAAACGCATCCCTCAAAGATGACGACTGAGTGACAGACTAGGGAATGTTACCAGGAGAGTGGAAAGAGCTGGAAAGTGCTCAGTGCTAAGGAAAAGACTGTAGCAGCCGCTGACTTTGGATCCCCAAGATGAAACACCCAAAAGAGTGAGCCAAGTAATGTCCAGACCACTCTGCCTTCGAAAACTGCGCTGGTCCAGATAAGGTTTCACCAGAAAAACCAGCATGCTCTTAATCTGAGTTCACTAGCACAAGCCAGG